ACAGCGACTTTTGGGGGCGGGGAGCGTGCTTTCGGGTGGGGGGGGGGGGCCGGGGGGTTTTAGACGGATCACTGGGTGTGGGATGTGGTCTCCTTTAGTTCTTTTTCCCTTTAGGTGAATTATTAAAGTTCCCGTTAAGGGTATGAAGACAAGGAAAGGAGGGGCAGGGGTTGTCAACAGGAGAGGACCCAGGTGGGAATGTGGTGAGCGATGGGGAAGGGGGAGAGGGGAAAGAGGGAGAGGGGATTACGACGTGGAGATATTATAACTGTGTATGTAGGTTATGATAATATATTGTACAATATACACACATACACACATACACACATACACCCAGGGTTCTTCACCCCGATTCGGGCCCGAACTTTTTTGAGATATTTCCATTTTGACCGAAAGGAAAATTAGTGCGCCCCGGAGCATTCCGAACGGATTTGGGGCCTTTTGGACCATTTCTTCGGGGGCCCCACCGAAGCATTTTGAAGGCATTTTCGGAAAAAAACCGAACGATATTTCAGCGTAAATTTGCATGTTTTCGGATACAGACAGGGCCTGGAAACCGGGCTTGGTCACCCGCTTGGTCACCAGTCAAACAACAACTATAAATGTCCATTGCGGCTGTTTCGCACCTGTATCGCAGACATTTTCATACATCTAAGCATATGCATAGCTAAACATGCCCGAGTCAGCTGATGATGAGCGCCCAACCAAGGTGCCCTGCATCTCCCTCGGGTTCGCGGCTTCTTTAAGGCATCTGGTGAGTTTCTATCATACAAACAATATAATAGTGGCGCTATGAAAGTACCCGGGGAACTGATGCGGAACTAATGGCAACTTGTGATTAAAGCTGCTGAGGAGTATGTTGCAAAGAACCCGGATGGGCTCCTGCACCGTATTGCCAAGGTGGGCGACTGTGTTCTGCCTGATGAGAGTGATGATGAGGGCAGTGTGGGCAGTGAAATTGCTGAGGCCTATTATCCTTCTGATCACGAGGAGGTCGAGAGTGTGGCAAGTGATGAGGTGTACCCGTCTGAGGAGACGGACGATGACGAGTGGCAGGTGTGGTGGAGGCGATTGCTGCAGAGATTGATGAGGAGCGGCGCCTCCTTGGTTTTGCGTAAAATCCTTGCTGAAATATTTCTCCCAGGCCCTATGTTCCAAAATAAAATCAAACATCTGTTAGTTCAGCCGCCCTAACATATAACGATAGAATCCAGCTAATTTCTACCCCGAAGACTGCTTCAGACAGCTTCGGGGTACCCGAAAACACGGTCAGGCTGACAGGAAAATCTTCGGGGAGGGCACCGAAAGGTTATTCAGAGGATTTCGGACACAGCCGAAATTCTGGGGTACCCTGGTGAAGAACCCTGCATACACCGCTCGCCTGCAGTTCACTGTCGGCGACGTTGCTCTGGTCCCTCATGGCCGTCAACGCCAACACCCCCGCGCCGCGATCCACTAGCGCCCCCGCCACCGCCGGATGGGTGGCGCTCAGACTCCAAACACAACGAGTCGACAGGCGACGGAGAGCCGCCACGCCGCCAGATCCCGGCGCAAACGGCAAGGAAAGTGCCGGCTCGGCGGCGCCTCCGGCGCCGGTGCTGCCGCCGCCGCCGCCGCCAGCGATAGAGGAGGCGGCAGCGGCTGCCGCCGCTGCCGCCGCCGCTGCCGCAGCGGCGGCATGTACGGCTTCTACGGCCAGCGCAAGGCCGTCAAGGACTTCGTTGGTAAGGGTGAGCGGCGTGTCGGCGTCGAAACGAACACTCCACCTGGACCGGTATATGTGCGGTGCACGTGTGTGCGAGGGAATGGGTGTATGCAGGTAACATACGACAGGGTGCTCCTGGCAACATAAAACGGGGCGCGCAGGAGGAGCGGCCGCCAACGTCTGTCGATGCCTCCCTAGTTCATATTGTTGATGTCTGCTTCCCTCCTTCCCCTCTTTCCTTGGCAGCAGCTTCACTCGTTCGTGGTTCGTCCTTCCCCTCTTTCCCCATTTTCCCCTAGCCAGCTATACACATCACCGTACACCGTGTCTACGTCCCTTTCCCTCCTTTTTCCCGGGTGCTCTGTTTTAGGGTTGTAGCAGTGCTGCCATCACGCAATCCGCTTTGTGTGTCTGTATGTTCTCACCAGCTGTAGTCCGCCTGCGTGTACAGCCCATCTGCCGTACGCATCATATTGACCGGATTGACCTTGTCCACTACCCATTGACGCAACAGCAGCCACAGCGCCATCACAAGGAAGCGGCCGCTGCGCAGCACGCCGCCGAGTGAGGCGGCCCACTGACCCATGGGTCCGCCGCCAGCGGCGCCGACGCCGCCGCTGACGGAGCTCACGGCCCCGTGCGCATTGCCGTTGCCGTGGATGATCGAGTGCGCGTTGGTGCCGTGATGATGCTGTACATGGGTAGAGCTGGCGGATGTCGGCCGCGTCGCCGCCGACGGCGGCGGCGGCGGCGAGGCCGACCGGGAACCTTTCGCAGCGGAGATCAAGGACGGTCGCGCCGCTGCCGTCGACGCCGCCGTTGGCGGCGGCGACGTGGATCTGTTGCCGTTGGAGACGGCGGCGGCCAACGAGGCGGCCTCCGTTGACATGAATGTGACGCGCGCAGCGCCGCCGCCGGGCTTCCGTAGCTTAGTCAGGACACCGCGAAGCAACACACCCAGCACCTCCACCCACAAGTCTGAGTCCAAAGAGGCCGCGGCGGCACTGGCGCGCGCCGCCGCGGCGGCGCTGTTGAATCCCGTCGGCGGCGGCGCCGCCGCCGACGTGCCCTTACCTTGTGGACCCTTTCCCGCACCAGTAGCAGCAGTAGCAGCCTGCACACCCTCCACGAGACACCGCCGGTTGCCGACGTGGCGTGCGAGGCTGTAGCATGCCGCCGCCAGGTACGGAGTACTGGGCGTGTGGTGGCATGCCGTACGCATGTACGACATGACAGCAGCGAGCTGCGGCGGCTGCAGGGGGTTTTCCGTCGATGCCAGGTGCATCAATGCACAGGAGGTGGCCTGCGGGGGGAGGGGAAGGGGTGGCCCAGACGGTGGCTGAGTAGTTGGCTAAAACTAGTTTGGGGCGTTGTGTTGTATTGTGCTTTGTGTTATCGTGGTGGTGCAGTCGTGTGGCGGCTATCTATACATCTATGTATCGGTGTGATGATGTGGTGTGCCGTACCGCCATCCCCCATCCTTACCTGCATCAAGACATTAGTGGATGTGTCGACGGGATGCTGAGCGAGGATTGCGGACAACAGTCGAGGCCGCGATGGAGGCGATGGTGAGGCGGCGGCGGCGCCGCCGCCGCCGCCACCGCCAGTGGTGCTCCCGGCGATGGAGACGCGGCTACCTCCGCCGCCGGCGGCGCCGCCGTGTTCGCCGCTGGTAGAGCTCACCCTCCGACCATTGACGGAGGCGATTGAGTTCCGTGCGATTGAAGTACGGGACGCAGAGCCGCCGATGCCGCCGTCGCCATCGCCGCCGCCACCGATGGCGCTTGGTCTTCCGGCGCCAGCAGCAGCTGCCATTGAGGCGCGTGAGAGCGAAGCACGGGGCGCGGCGGCGCCGTCGCCGCCGTGCTCGCCGCCACCAACGGCACCTAGCCTTCCGCCGCCAGCAGAAGTCATTGAAGCTCGCGAGAATGAAGCACGATGCGCACCGCCTCCACCGCCGCCGGCAGCGGCGGCGGTTGAGTTCCGTGGCGTGAAGGCCCCGCCGATGGAGCTGCTCCTAGACAAGCCGCTGTGCCGGCTGGGGCTGAGGGAGGGACTGATAGGGCCGGCGGCGGTGGACGGCGCGACGGAAGACATCGGGGTGGGAGGTACGGCAGCGGCAGCGGCCGCCGCCGCCGAGGCAGCGGTGAATCTGGCCGTCGCCGTCGCCAGTAGCATCTCAAGAACACCGCTGGCCAGGATAATGTCGCGGTACGGCCCCTGGTACAGCGCGGCCGCCGCCGTCGCCGCCGCCAGTTCCTCCGCCGGCGCGGCGCCGTCGGCGGCGGCGGCCGCGGCTGCCACCGCGGCGGAGATTGACGTGTCCGTCTCCCAGTTCTTCTGCAGCTGAGCAGCCGCCGCGGTCGCGGCGTCCACGGCACCGGGCTGAAGCGTTGCCGCCATGACCTGTACAACACCCGCCGCGAGCACCTGGCAATGACGGAGCTGGTTTTCCAGAGATGGCGGCAGCGGCCCACTCAAAAGCACGGGCGCGTCGGCGGCGGCACCGTACGGCAGCAGCGACAACGTCGTACTGACGGCACGTACGGCAGCGTCTGCGGCGGCCTGCAGGTTATCCTCCATGTCTGCAATGTTGCGCAGCTCCCGCCGCATCTCCGCCTGCGGGGGTTGGATTTGGAGTATGCTTTGAATTTGAATTTGGATTTGGATTCGGAGAGGGTAGCTGGAGGAGGGTGGTGGCGTATCAGCCCTCCAAGCTCCCCCGCCTCCTTACCGCCCCTCAACCTTACCCTCAGTTCCAGCCTCGGCCCGACTCCCTAGTCCTGTCCTACCACCGTCCCCATTACCCCTCACCTCCACTTTCCGAATACCCTCCCGCTTCTTCTCCCTCTTGGCCTCCTCCTCGTGCTCGAAAAAGAACTGCCCTGGCTGCTTCTTAGCCGCCTCGATCTCGTCAAGAAGCGCTTGATACTGCAACAACAACAATTTAATGGTGATGGTGGTGGTGGACGTGATAATAATGACCCATGGGTTGGTCTCACAGGCTGGAAAAAAGACGAGAGCCACCAAGGTATGGTAATTACATTCTTTACCCGTGGTAGGTCACCCGTGTTGGATAGCCTTTTATAACGGATTTTGTGTCGCCGTCTGTGAGCTATTTTTCTTGAGACTCTATACTATATGAATGTCTGAAAACTGTCCAATAAAACGTTGCGAACCTTTCTTTAGCACGATTTGGGGTCCCCATTCGTACAGCCATCTGACGCGTTTTTTCATGTCGGAATGTGCGCCGGAAATCCCCGAGTAACCAAATCCAGGATTCGGATCCAGAACCCAGATCCAAACTCAATCGTCACCATCAAGACCGCCACCACCACCACTTTCTCCCCTCTCTCCCCAAACCCCAAATCGACCCCCACCTCATCCTCCGCCAGCTCCTTCTTCACGTGCAGCCGCCTCAGCTCCGCATGCCTGTCGGGTGGAAAGGAGTTAGTTGAGGGACAGTTGGGAGTTAATCGGGAGGTAGTATAAAGCCAGAAGGCGGAGAGGCGGGAAGGGGCAAGAGGACCAAGAGCGCTGTAACAGTCTGGTGGGGTCTGGTGGGGGGCCATTTCCACACCTCTCCCCTCTTTTCCCCCCTTCCCCCCCCAATACACACGCACGCCTCACTCACTCACTCACTCCCCCCTTCGTCCTCCCCCGTTCTTCCCCAGACTCCCGTTTCCGTACACTCCTCACCGGGCTAGCAGCGCCTTGAACTGGGCCCTCACCAGCCGCGTGTTGCCCTGCAGGAGGCAGAAGGCATAAGGCCTAGATGGCATAAGGCCCTGGCAGCATAAGGCCCTGGCAGCATAAGGCCCTGGCAGCGTAAGGCCCTGGCAGCATAAGGCCCTGGCAGCATAAGGCCCTGGCAGCATAAGGCCCTGGCAGCGTAAGGCCCTGGCAGAAGGGGTTCGTCCCCTTTAGGGGAACCAAAGGGGGACTCCGTCCCCTTTAGGGGAAGAAGGGGGAACACCCCTTTGGTTCATCCCCTTTAGGGGAACTAAAGAAGACGAACTAAAGGGGAACTCATCCCCAAAGTCTCTTCTTCGTCTCCCCGAAGGGGAGCATAAGGCCCTGGCAGCATAAGGCCCTGGCAGCATAAGGCCCTGGCAGCGTAAGGCCCTGGCAGCATAAGGCCCTGGCAGCGTAAGGCCCTGGCAGCATAAGGCCCTGGCAGCGTAAGGCCCTGGCAGCGTAAGGCCCTGGCAGCATAAGGCCCTGGCAGCATAAGGCCTAGGCGGCATAAGGCCTAGGCGGCATAAGGCCTAGGCGGCATAAGGCCTACTGACCTGAATGACGCAAAGGGAGCCCAGCAGCGCGTGGAGGGAGCCCGCAAGGTGGCTGTGCGGTGCCGGGGTTTCGGAGCTGTTACTGCCACTGCTGCGTCGGCCGCTGCCGCCGCCGTCGTCCGACTCGTCCGACGCCATGTCGAGCAAGTTGGTTGCCGCGTCCTCGTCGCCAGCGGCCGCAGTGGCGGCGGCAGCGGCGACGCTGGAGTCACCGCCGGAGGCCGCGCTGGTACGGCTGCCGCTGATGCGAACGCCGCTGATGCGAACACCGCCACTTGCGCGGGCGGCGGAAGAACGGCTGGTGCTTAAACGTACGGCGCTGGTACGCGCGCCGCCGCCGGGCTTGAGGTCGCCACGACTGCCGCCGCTGACGTCACTCCTCCGTTGCAGATGTTGCTGTTGCTGTTCCTGCTGCGCCGCCGCCGCCTCCATGTCTTCTCGAAGCTCCTCCGCCTCAGCTGGGACGAGCTTGGCGATGGCAATGGCCAGGTGGGCAATGTGCTCCAGTACGGCAGGTGTGATGGGTGTCGTATATGTGTCCGTTTCAACCATGGCGGCAAGGGCCGCGGCAGTGGCGGCGGCGACGGCGGCAGCGGCGGCGGTCTCGGCCTCCCGTACAGCCGCCGGGTTTTTCGGGCCCGTCAGCAATGCGGAGTCATCCATGCTGGAGAGCGACGACGACGCCGTCAGGGGCACCGCCGCCGCCGCTGCAGCCGCAGCGGCAGCGGCGTCTGCCGCCGCCGCCGCCGCTGCCGTCGCCTCAGCCGCGGCTGTCGCCGCTGCGGCCGCGCGGATCTCGATAGCCCGCTGCTCCGCCGCAATGGCGGCCCACAGCGCTGTCGACGTCAGCTCGATAATGTACGACAATCGATGCGGCGGGAATTGCACCGTGTACGGCGGTCCAGCGGCTACCGTACCCGCTGCCGCATCGCGCGCCGTCGCGGCGGTTGGCTGCGTCGCCAGCGACAGCGCGGCGGATATCTGTGGGTCAGTTATTGGCTGCGATACCAACGACGACAGATGTGGCACCAATGGCGGCGCCGGCGAGGGAATCGCTGGCGGAGGCGGGGCCGGCCTCGCCGTATTCGGCACACCGGAGATGCGACCGGTGAGAGACGGCAGCACGGGCGGCTTAGCCCCACTATCGCCTTCACCGCCGCCAGCAGCGCCACTGCCGCCGCCGCCGCCAGCGCCGGCCCCGCCGCCGTCAGCGCCGGCTTCGCCGGCGGCGGCTTCGCCTTCGGCGGCCGCGGCCG